TTTCTCTATTGCTAGATTGAGATTTGGCTCTCCAGGATCTACTATACAGTTAGCATTCATCTGTATATGTTCCAACTTCCAAAGTTTTGTTACTTTTTTCTCTTCAATTCTGACCATCCTTGTTAATTTATGCCTTAAAAACTTTACTGTTATTTTAGATTTTGGAAAGAAGCAAAATTATTTGTGTATGTCCATTCATGTCCATTCCACTCTCCTAACCCACGAGACTGACATGATTTGATAAGAATAATGAATATTTTTATGTGAAAAATAATTTTACTATGTGAAAGGCAAAGTAACACAGAATATGGTACTTACACAGTAACTAAATATAAGTCTGCTGAGGGCACTGTTATGGAAAAGTAAGGATGTCATGCCTTTCTTGATTGTGCACAATGCCTTTAATTTCTAAAAAGAATTTTTGGAAAAAACCAAAAATGATTCATCTTCATTATAAGAAAGTTAGCAAATACCAGTAAGTTTGAGGATGAAAATAGGAATCATTTTAATTCCACTGCCCAGAACTAACCACTATAACTGTCTAGTGTATACTTTCTAGTCTTTTCTATGCAGCTACCTATGTATTCGTACAAGTATTGTTTAAGTGAAACATACCATATGTAGTATTTTGCTCCTCAATTTTTTCCCACCATAAAAGAATATATGTTTTGAGAATATTTTTTGTACAGAATCTAGAGATAATACTCTCATTAACAACATCTAACAGCTACCATTTATGCAGATTATGTGCCAGGTACTGTGCTAACATCTTTTTTTCCCCCTGTTTAATTTATTTTAACATTATTTCAGACTACAAAATGTACAAAAAAAATTCACCCAGGTACTTCAGATGTTAACACTGTCTCTCTTTCTCATGTATCTTGAACTGTTTGAGGCTAAGGTGCACGCCTACTCCCCTGTATACCCTAAGTACATGAGAGTGCATTTTCCCCAAAAAAAAAAAAAAAAAGAAAAGGACATTCTCTTATGTAACCACAGTGCAATTGTCAAAATCAGGAAATTAACACTAATTTAATATTATCATCTAATCTATATACTTGTTCAAATTGCACCCATTGTCCCAATAATATATTTTTATTACAAAAGAAAATTTTGGATCCTAGAGTGCATTCAGTTGTCATCTCTCTTTTGTTTCCTTTAATGTGGAGCATTTCCTGTCTTTGTTCTTTTCATGATATTGACATTTTTGAAGACTGCAGGTCAGTTATTTTGTAGAATGTCTCTAATTTGGCTTTATCTGATATTTTCTTTTAATTGGTTGGATTCAGGTTATTCATTTCTGGCAAGAGTGCCACAGAAGCAATGTTACAACTTCATTAAGGTAGTGTCTGTTAGGTTTTCCAATGTGAAGTTATTATTTTTCCTTTTGTAGTTTTTTTGGTGGCAAACTACATATAACATAAAATTTACCATTTTAATCATTTTTACTGGGATTAAATACATTTACACTTCGTTTGTAGTTTTGAAGTGTCTTTGACAAAATACTTGAGACAATGAATATTCTGTTATTTTTTGAAATTTTACTTACTAATTTTAGTATCCATCAGTGATTTCTGCCTGAATCATTTTTGTGATGGTTCCTAAATGATGATTTTCTAATTCTATCATTTATTCTATGCTTATTTATAATACTCCTTTATTTCATTATTTTTTAAAACATTTTATTTTTTTAAAAGATTTTATGTATTTATTTTTTTAGAGAGGGAAGGGAGGGAGAGAGAGAGAGAGAGAGAGAGAAACATCAATGTGCGGTTGCTGGGGACCATGGCCTGCAACCCAAGCATGTGCCCTGACTGGGAATCCATTTCATTATTTTTATGCTGTCCCTGATTTGGCCATTGGGAACCCCTTCATGTTGATTCCTGTCTCCTTTTGGCTTGCTCTTGTCATTAGAGCACTTCCTCACTTTTTTTCCTCAGCAGGATGTTCTACATCTAATACTTTTCCAGCCCTAGCCTTGGAATGAGTTATTACTTCCTTTTAGTAAAGAATGGCTTTATAAGCCAGGATCTGGACTCTAGATGTCTTCATTGCTGCAGTGTGTCATTGCTTCTAGGCTCTCTCAGCAGGCATCTAGGAAATAGATACATGGGGTAGATGTGTGTGTGTCCACACACATTCATATACATTTTTATCTGTCTATGGAAAGGAATGAATTTATATTGATACCACCAATTCTAATCCAACACTACAGAATTTATTCTATCCTTCATTTTATATATATATATGTAACTCCCTCTCCTAACAGTGAGAAACCTAGCCCCATTATTCATGTTTTTACTTATTGGCTCAGTTCTAGAATATCAGGAAATAAGTTAAGAATTGCTAACTTATACCACTATTTAAAAGACACCTTGTAAGTAGAGTTCAATATTTGTTGATAGTTTTTTTTCCCTTTAGCATATAATCTAACTCTCCATTGTCCAGTAGGGTAGGGTAGCCCCTAAACACATGAATTGAGATGTGTCATAAGTGTAAAATATATACTGGATTTTGAAAACTTAGTATGAAATAAGGAATTAATATTTTAGTATATTATTGTTTATATTTTGAAATATTTTAGCTGTATCAGATAAAATAAAATAATAAAATTATTTTTTATCTATTTTTACTTTATTTAAACACAGCCACTAGAAAATATTAAATTATATATGTGGCTCCTATTATGTTTCTTTTGGACATCGCTAATATAAAAAAAACCGTGTTTAAAAGTTATATGGATTAGTTTTCTCTCCCCAATGTTTTTCCCTCCCCGTTTTTATGTTATTTGAAGTACACTTGGTTCTATTTGAATTTTAAGTTTTCTCTTCATCCTAGTTTATCTTATTTTTGAATATGTGAAACATTAATATTGTTCCAAAGGTCAGAATTACATTAAAAATATATCCTTAGAGCAGTGTCACCCAGTTTTTTAATCCTTTCCTTTCCACCCTGTCTGCCTGCCTTCTATGGGTATCCAGTCTCATTTTCCGAATTATCCTTCCTGTGTGTTTTTCCCCAGAAATGAGGAAATACAGCTATATTTCCTCTTCTTTTTTTTTTAACACACTAAATGTAACATGCTATAGACACTCTTTTGTACTTTACTTTTTTCACCGAACAGCATGTTTTGGAATCCATTCCATATCAATTTTTAGAGTTTACCCTCTTCCCTCCCTCCCTTCATCTTTTCCTTATTCCTAGAGTTGGAAAGTACTCTCCTGTGAGGATGTTAGCCATTTTTTAATGCTTTTTCCAGTGTTTTGCATTTACAAACAATACTGCAGTGACTGATAGTTTTAGTTACTATGTTTGGATCCCTGATTCAGTTGGAGATAATTTTAAATAAATGTTGTGTGAACTTAATAATCTTTGTACAAATACTAATTTGTTGTCTCAGCATACATTCTTTAAAAAGTACAGTTTTGGCCCTGGCTGGTCTGGCTCAGTGGATTGAGTGCCAGACTGCAAAGCAAAGGATTGTTGGTTTGATTCCCAGTCAGGGCACATGCCTGGGTTGCTGTCCAGGTCCCCAGTAGGGGGCTCATGAGAGGCAACCACATATTGATATTTTTCTCCCACTCGTTCTCCTTCCCTTCCCCTCTCTCTAAAAATAAATAAATAAAATCTTTAAAAAAAGTACAATTTGCCCCAGTGTTTTGAGATGTCACCTTTAACATATATTAAGTTTCCATTAAGTTTATTTCTGGACTTTCTGTTTTTCTTTTTATACTAGTCTGTCTATTCCTGCACCATTATCACAGTTTTAATTATATGTATATCAGGAGCTAGCTTCTAAAATTTTTTATTGTTTTATTGGCTGTTCTTACATGTTTGTTTTTTCCGTTGAACTTTAGTAGCTGCTGTCTCTGTAAAAAAGCTTGCTTGTATTGGGATTTTATTTGGATTATGTTAAATTCATAACTTAATTTAGGGAGAACTGACATCTGTATGATGTTGAGTTGTGGTGAGTTTTCTACCCCAAAACAAGGAATATCTTTCCATTTATTCAACTCTACTTTTGTGTCACAGGACTGTCTTAAAGTTTTCTTTTTATTGGTTTTGTACACTTGTTGAATTTGCCTTTTTTATAAAACTTATTACTGTGTTTTATAGATTTTTATTTCAGTGTTTGTAGAGCTACACTATTCTTTTTAATGTCTATATTGTTTTAAATAATACATAGGTGTACCATAATTTATTTATTCTGACCCATATAGATGGACATTAAAATTGTTTATTTTATATAATTTTTCACTCTACAGTCACCAAAACAGGGACTTAGTGCTTTTTAAAAAATATTTGCCAGTTTGATGGGCAATAAAGAATATATTTATTATTATTTCTTTGCTAACTGATGAGGCTAATTTTGAATCCACCCATTCAAACATCCATTCAGCATATTTTTACTAAGCATCTACCATGTACCTATAAGAACTATAGTAATAACTGGAGTTGAATATCTTTTTGTTTGTGTGGATTTTTTTTTTTAAGAGAAAGGGGAAGGAAGGGAGAAAGAGAGAAAGAGAAACATCAGTGTGAGAAAGAAATGTCTACTGGTTGCTTCCCCTAGGTGCCTGACTGTGGGTCAAACCTGCAGCCAAGGCATGTGCCCTGACCGGGAATCAAACTTGCCCCTTTCTCTTTGCTGAACCCTGCCCACCCAGCTGAGCCACACTGATCAGGGCTCATTTTGTGTTTTTGATAATTTGTATTATTTTGTTTCATGTCTATCTCTCTTTTTCTAATGGCAATTAATAGGAGTTTCTGCTTCTCAGAAGACTGAGAATGAGAGTTGACATTTCTTTACTCTGTTTTGTTGATGAGCTTCTAAAATGTACTTTTGTGTGTATGTATTTATTTTCATTGCACAGTCTATGGTAAATCACTGTGTTAAACTCTTAGTATTCACAAAATGAGTATGTTAAGTGCACAGACAGTTATCAAAGAAGTGATAACTACATATTTTTATAAAAATAACTTTCATCATTATTTTTCAGGTGAGACTGCTGTGTCTATCAGAAGGGAACTTTTATGTCATTTTCCTTCAGACAGTCTATTTGTTCTAGAGTTTTATTCGAAAAATAAAAAATAAATGTCACTTATTTGGTAAGTTAAATATACTTACACATGTTTTATAAGTATACTGTTCATTTACTTTTAAATATTTGTTTGCTTATATTCTGTTTCTTCTCCATCATTATATTTTGTAACTTTCATGTAAAACAAGTTTTAAAGTGGCAATTTCCTAAAAGACTTAGGCTCACTGGAAGATTTTTTTTCTTCACTGTTTCTTTCTTAATTTTGATTTTTGATATAAAGAGAAAGGAGGTTGGTTAAAAACTGGGATTAGGTCTCAGATGGATTACCAGTTTTGCTTCCTTCAGTCTCTTTCCACTAGAAAAACTGAGAATTAACATCCTTCCTTTTAAGTTCTAGCTTCCCTATAGTTCATATAGGGATCAGCAAAGATGCATTGTTACTGTAAGGATTAAAGAATAGATAATTAAGTTTTTAGTAAAGCATAATGAATGAATCTATCAAAGAACTGGGAAATGAAAAATAGATATTTAGTGAAATTGATTTCAGTTTTTAACGTTACTCTATAGGTGTTTATTTTCAATTAAAAATGTTTTTAAGAAATCTTATTAAATTGGTAGGAACTGCTGCTTTGTGAGATGTTTTTCTCACCCTCATCCTCTGCTGATCTTTGCAGTCTATTTCAGCTTCTGACTCTCATGTGTAGCCAGTGGCAATTGGGAAGCTGATGTGTAGGGTAAAGGTTTTAGTAGTACAAAAGGGTCAGTCACAGCAACTGTTAGAAGATAATTGTACTTGTGTGCTGCTGAAGCACGTGGCAAAAGATTGGATAGAAACTATAATGGAATGTTATTGGTGATTTGCAGAATTTTCTTTTAAATGATTTTTCATAGCAAGTGAGAAATAAATGTTGGTGTTGACAGCTGAGCTTAAAGAATTCTCAAATGGACTCTAACAATGAGGAGCCATAGGAACAGAAAAAGGGGAGGAAGAAGATTCTCTTTTGATATGTGTTTTGGTAGTCTCTTTGCTTTTGTTAGCCTCAGAAAGCTGACTTCAGATGTTCCTAGATGGTGTGCATGGCTCATATAAGTAGAGGCATGGGATTTCATTGTGCATGACTCTGAAATGGTCCAGATCTCAGTGCAAACCAAAGTGAGTTTTAATCTTGGTTATTTAAAATCTCCTTGTACCTGTCTTATTAGGAGTATTATTTTTTTAAGAGGAAACTAATTTGCAAATGGCTATAAAGAGTGACATTGTATCTGGGAAAATGCTGTACTAACACACTGCACTGTCCCACAAGAGTACTTCCCAAGTCCCCAAACGCAGTGCTGACAATCTGTGACAGCCTGTGAATTGTTGTGGAGCAGTTGGGGGAAGATGGGCAGCAGAACAAGGTGGTTGTGTGGAAATTATAGAGGAGATGGGGAGGGGAAGAAGTGAGAAAAGAGCTAGGCAGTTTGGATTCTGTGGGCAGTTTGAGTGGAATCTATTCTTGTTAGCTCTGATAATAAGATGAAATAAACAGCTAGAGTGTATGTTGGGGTTCAAGGTGTTACTGTTTCATTCTTCATCAAAACTGTAAGGTAGGTGTTCTTTTGATGAGAGTATGGATTGGATGGATTTAAAAATTTTGAACAGACTAGAAATAACACTTCATCCCAGGAAATGAGACTATAAAACTTAGAGTAATAGGGATGGGGTTTATCTTTTCAAGGCATTATTGCCACGGTAATAAGGCCAGTTACCATATCTAGAGCCAAATGTATATCCTGTTATTTGTTTGTTTGTTTAACATGTGTATATATATACATACCACCAGCTGTTATTGGTTCAGAGGCAGGCAACTATAATAGTATTCATCAGACATCAAGGGTAGAATTCCTGGCTATTATTTGGATCGTGGAGTAGAATGTAATGTGGGGCAGATTTTGGTTCAGTCCTTTCTCTGATTATGAGAATGGTTATACAAAGGAAGTGTATTTATTTGATGGTTCTGCTAGGTATTATGCCTAATTCTGAATAAGGGATTAGACTTGGGGCACATCGTTTTGGAGCCCATCTTTCCTCTTGATCCTGTTTCTGAATTTTGGTTAGAATATGGTCATTTGATACCATTGGATTAAGTAAGCGTAAGAGATGTCAGTTTGAAGATTGTGTGCTACCTTAGCACCTCTACACAGGTGGTTCATATTAAAAGAGATGCCAGGGTAAATGAAAGGGCAAATGGAGTAAGGGAAGGTATGGAGGATATCTGTAATAGTATCATTTCTCAGGAATTATCTATAAGGTCTAGACTCAACTCTCCTTTGCCTAGGATATCAAATGCCTAAACCTGGTGTTGAAGTCCCTCCAGCTGAAAACAGTCTTTCTAGCAGAGTCTTACACTGCTTCCCAACACTGAACTTTGTCTAGGCTAGTTTCTATAACTGTCTCCAAAGCAAAAATTTTTGACTTACTGCCTCTTCATATTGTTTCAGGCTATTCCTTCTACTTGGAATGTCTCCTTTCAGTTCTCTGTCTTCTAAAGGTCTAGTTCCTTACTATGTAAGGAACATGTTGGAAGGTATATAAATGTCAAACCAGTATACCTTCAACTAATATAACATTGTATGCCAACTATACTTTAATAAAAAAATAAAAAAAAAAATTAAGGTCTTGTTCTAATTCCACCTACTTTATGACATCTTTAACCATTCTAGGGCCTTAGTGATTTTTCTCTCTGGGTTTTTCTCATTTACTGTGTTTCTCTTTATTTGGCAATTATGCACCACCTTAAAACAACTTTAAAAAATTCTTATCCTCCCAATTAGGTAGAGACAGCTTAAAGGGAAGGCTACATTATTCATGTGGTTCAAACCATGTTATTACTTGTAGTCCTACATTACAATCTCCTTTGCCCCTAACATAGATGTTAGTACAATATATGCACTTAATCCTTGTTTGTAAGAAAAGGTAATTACCTATTCTTAGCTTTTACCAATCTTATCTTTCTTTTATCATTAGAATAATAGATAGATTAGAATGCAGTTTAAGTACCTCAACCATGTTTGTTCAGTAGATTATTCTTTTCTGAAAGCTTTCTGCAGCACTCTGTACTGGCTTCCTGATCCTTAAAGGAGCATTTATCTGAAGATACTGTTGTATTCTAAGGTAACTATGTATTATTATTGAAACTCTAACTAGTAAACTCTTAATTTGCATATAAGAGAAACTCTTATTTATTATTTAATATTTTCTTTGCCTGCTTTAAAGTGCAACTTGCTTTGAAGTCTTGGGGTCTCAGTTTCTTACCAGCCACATTTGGCCTTTACATTTGCTAGCATAGCTGCAAGGAGGGAGAATACAGAGTTGTAAATATATCTCTAACATATGGACTCCACCTCTATTACAATTATTCTTTTGTTTCTATTGTACTTGAGTGTTTTTTTTCAAATTATTCTATGCTTTATCCTGTTTTTTAGAAGGCATGTATTGTAATTAATAGTAGTTAAGTGCAGGGACTTTGAAATCCTAACCAATACTAAAGCTGTAACTTAAGTTTCAGGTATCTAATCTGTAAAATTCAGATAATTGCTACTACCTGCTAGTATATAGTTGGAATATATATAAGATACTTAGCACAGATTAAGCCTGTGCTTTCAAAATTTACTCAGTGGTTTATTAGCTGTAGTCTCTGAATCCAAAATGAGGGAAAAGGTCAAGTTTAATGCATGTCAACTTTGAGGCACAGCCCCCAAAAGCCTTATCCATTTCAACTCTTTTATTGTTACTATAGGATATCTGTGTAACTGAGGATAGATCCAGGAGAGCAACTAATTTCAAATAAGTCTAGAAACATAGACCAACCTTTAAATGTATAGTGAGGGAAAGAAGTTTTTAGAGCAAGTTTCTAACTTCTCTTTCCATCCCGCAATCCCTGCCCAAGGTAGATACACCAAGTAGGAAGCAGACTTTTCTCTCTACCTATTACATATTATATTGCTGTCATTCAGTTATTTTAAAGCTTTGATCTGACTGCCTTTTGAGATGGCCTGTAATAATAGGTGCTAACATTGAACTTGGTGAACCATGGGGTTACCATATCAGTGGAGTGTGAAAGAGACTAAACTGCAGGCTGGTTCCCAGCCTATAAGGCATGAAATCAGTTGTTGCTGATGCGTGACTATAGCCAGTGGAGTGTAAAATAAGTTGGGGGCATGAATTGTGTTATATTTTGAGAAAAACCTTTCATGCCATAGTTTGTTTATGTATTTTGGTGCCCCCAAGATCCTACTGGAATCATATATCCTGTATCTTTCATTTGTTGATACTCAAGATTTTTCATGAAATGTTTCTTCAATTATATAAGCTGTATTCTTTGTCCAACTGCATGAAGAGAGGCAAAGGCTGTAATTTCCAAGGAAGACTAATAATACAATACCACACCTATTATATTCTGCTTAATATTACATTTGAAAAACCATCTGTAGTAGGTATTTGATGTACAAGTTTCTAGTTTGAGGCTTCTTCCAGTCTAAGAACTCTGTTTTCAGTTTCACTGGTCGTTGTTCGACCAGTGAAATTGCTCTGGAGAAAGGGAAGTACGTAAAGAAGGGTAAGATTTGGAATGATTGGGGGTGTTCTACTAAGAAGTAGAGAGATTATTCCAATGGGGAATAGAAGAGAGAGAGTCCTCTCCTGACACCATATGGCTTTGAGGGTGAGGCAAGGTGAATGAGGAAGTTTCAGAGACAATAGCAAATTTTTATTGTCGGCACTTTTAAGTCTGGAAGGTTATTGGGAATAGACAAGCCATGAAAGCATGAAAGTTCTTTCATTGTAGTTACTGTATTTTGCTGTGTATAATGTGCACTTTTTTGCCCAATTTTTGAGGGAAAAATAAAGATGCACATTATACATAGGTAGTATTAATTCCATATCTATATAAATGTTTCTAATTCTTTTACTTATGCTTATTTGTTAGAAGTGTAACTCTAGAAAGCAATAATGATATCCATATGCAAAATAATGCCCTAGAATATGATAATCAGTTTTTGTTTCTAAATATTAATAAATATATTGAA